TTTACCAGTCATGGCCTCCTAATAATCCCCATCTATGAATTGGCTTCATCACTCTGTTCTCCTCCCCACTGATAGCTGATGTGTGGTGAGCGTTCTGGTGCACTATGGCTGCCATCGCATCATCCAGGTGGATGCTGCACACTGGTGGTGGTGGAGGGGAGTCCCCATTGCCTGTAAAGTGCTTTGAGTGGAGTGTCCAGAAAAGTGCTATATAAGAGTAAGGAATTATTATTATAGGTGATACCTAAAACAGAAGAATTACTTAATTCTGTAGAAGCAGCAAATGAAATTCAAAACCATTTTGATTAAATTCAATGCAGGCAAACACTTGGTTTATAGATAGAAAGAATAAACTTTTGTGAAGGCTAAGATTGTCTCTTGTCAAAGTCATGATGCCACTGATGCCACTCAATGATGCCAGTCCTTTTTTTTCTTCATCACTGTAAAGTAAACCATGTTTTTAAACAAGGGTATTGATATGTTATTTCAATTCATATAGCATTAACGTTCAGTGGAAAGTTAGAGTGCTATTGTGTTCTACAGTAGTTCAGATTTCTAAGTCATAAATTTAATTTCTTGTAGAACCTGAGAGTGAAGGGATGGGAATTAATCTAAGAGCATTACCAAGCTGATAAACTATTACATTAAGGTGGCATGTTGGTTAGTTTTTTTTTTTAAATCAAACTACAGTATATATGTTTTTCTTTTTAACAATGTGTTACATTTGTAATTTACATTGGGGATGGAGTTTATGAATCTCTTAGAAACAATGCTGAAAGCTGGCTTCTGTTTTCTTCTGCCCTCAAGCCATTGGTGCCGTGCCGTCACCATTTGACTGCTACCTCTGCAACCGCGGCTTGAAGACTCTTCCCCTGAGAATGAAACAGCACTTCAGCAATGCCCTGGCTGTTGCCCGGTTCCTGGAAGCTGACCCTCGGGTTACAAAAGTCATTTTCCCAGGTTAATGACTCTTGCAGCGGCCAAAGAGATTTCAGAATCTTATTTGCAATCGGGAGGCAATTCCCTAGTTCACACATTCTCTGTTATTACAAAGTGAAGTCACAAGTTCTGTAATGTAGCCTGTGTTTATTATAGTCATTAGATGCTTCAGTGATCCAGCACCAAGTTAAGTCTAAGACTTAATGATATTGAAATCTATCAAAGCTTGGCATTAACACAGACCCTCTTGTCTGTTAATACACTGATAGTGACGGTTTTTACATGTACCATTGATTAACTGAGCTCTTTTCTGTTGAGCAGCATATGGGGTGATCTTTCTTTCTGAAATTAAGTGCAAATAAGCGTTCAAAAGAACTAGATATGTTTAAGAGTATACCGTTAATTACATAGTAAAGTTTTAGCTGAAAGATTATGAAGAACCCACATGGATTTTTTTGTTCTATGGATGCTTTGCTTAACACTTTGTTCACTCTTGATCTACCTGCAGGACTGCCCTCGCACCCTCAGTACGAGCTGGTGAAAAGGCAGTGCACTGGCTGTCCAGGAATGATCAGTTTTTACATCAACGGGCAACTGCAGCATGCCAGTGCCTTCTTAAACAATTTAAAGGTGATTTGTTATTGTCGCTCCTGAATTCCACAGGGACACAATCCCCTTATGATTGTGAGTCACTGGACTCAGCCTTCCATGTAATTGTGGAAGACCACAGACAAAGGTCTGCTGTGTCACTGAAAGAGCCCTGGCAGACTACTCTAAAATGTTGTGTTTTTGACTGCATTTCTGAACACTTCTGGGCTTTTTATTTGCTTTTACGTATTGTCTAGAAGTTGAAAATAATTTACCAGCACCAACTCCTAAATCATTTTCATTGGTATCTTCTTCAAGAATTTTTAAAGGTATTGTATGCATCTGGTAGTCAATGAAATAAAAGGAAGAGACGTGAATTTGTGAAGAAACGGAGGATTTGGGCTTTAGCACTAAAATTATTGAATTAAATGTCTCTCTACATTTACAAAGTTAATGTATTGTTTTTGGAATCTGTTTTTCAGCTTTTTACACTAGCAGAGAGTTTAGGAGGTTACGAAAGTCTTGCAGAGCACCCGTAAGTATTCAATTAATCAACTTGCTGCAGAAAATGTTTTCACTTCATTGTTCTTCCATCAAGTGCTACAGTCTAAAGTCTAAACTAAGTAAAGACACGTTGGCTTTTAGTGTTGGGTTTAGAGTATCTTCTCGTTGAGTTGGACCTCATGCAGGAATTATAAATTGGGCAGATTGTTGCAGTTGAAAATATTTCATGGAAGAGACACCAGTTTGGAAAAGAAGATACTGCTCTTGCACGACTCTGCTGGCTCACAGGATTCTGTGGCTTTAAGAGAAAGCAGGAGATCACTCTTGAATGGGTTATTGGTCCATCAGTGGGGAAAATGCCCATCAATGTAGTTATTCATTTACATAACTGAGTGGAATGGTTAAGTTAAAGTACCCTATCTCAAGAATACAGCAATGAGGACCTGAACTAATGGCTCTGTGGTAATGAGTACAGAACTCTTAACGCTGCTCCATGTACTCTTGTAAGAGTAAACACATTTACTGTACTATTAAGTGTTTTCTGACTTGCAGGTCCATTTAAATTGTAAACACGAGCTTTTCTTTTATTGATCAGATCATCCAAACTTATATATATATACTGTCTAAAGGCTGAGTTAAACTGTTTTTATTTTACTAATCAATCTTTGTGTTTATTTGATGTATGCTGTAAGAAATGTTTTCCCAGGAGGGAGACCTCCTGGGAAAAACTAAGGTTGCTGCTGGAAGAGGTGTTAGTGGGGCCAGCAGGGGGCGCTCACCCTGCGGCTCATGTGGGTCCTAATGCCCCAGTGTAGTGACGGGGACACTATATTGTAAACAGACGCCGTCCTTCGGATGAGACGTAAAACCGAGGTCCTGACTCTCTGTGGTCATTAAAAATCCCATAGCATTTTTTCTAAAAGAGTAGGGGTGTAACCCCTGTGTCCTGGCCAAATTTCCCATTGGCCTTTATCAATCATGGCCTCCTAACAATCCCCCTCTATAAATTGGCTTCATTACTCTGCTCTCCTCCCCACTGATCGCTGATGTGTGGTGAGCGTTCTGGCGCACTATGGCTGCCGTCCCATCATCCAGGTGGATGCTGCACATTAGTGGTGGTGGAGGGGAGTCCCCATTACCTGTAAAGCGCTTTGAGTGGGCTGTCCAGAAAAGCGCTATATAAGTGTAAGCAATTATTATTATTATTATTATTAAGTTGACAAACTGCTTCTTAAATCTCAAGAGAGTTGTAAGTCAGCAATTGATTTTAATGGCAAAAAAAGGCTTTGAGCAATAGTTTCAAAAACTACCTTATGTAAGAAAACTTCCTTATGTATCTTGTCTACTGCCTAATAATAGTGATGTGGGTAAAGTACAATATTTTGAAGATGTATTCCAGTTTTGTTCATTTTAATATAGTTGTAGTACCTGTATGCTATCACAAGAGGGCGACTCAGACACATTCGTGTTAGGAATTCTAAGGTTCTGCTGAAAGCGTGACAACTTATACCTTTAGGATATAAATTTCTTTGAAGCAAAAAATTGAACATGCTCAATCATGATTCATTTAATGGAAAAAAATGTTGTAATCAATAATTGATTTGCAGTTGCTGAAAGTAACAGGAATTTCAGAACTTAAATATTGAGAAATACCTTCAGGGCACGCTTGTAGTTAAAATCAAAAGTGTAACACCTTTAAAAAGTTAAAGATTGAGAGTGAAATTTGAGTACATAGATTAAAAAGCAAACTAAAAACTGAGCAAAAGGTTTTAATGTCTTCAATAAGGAATGAAAGAGTTTTAATTGGAAGGATTGGTAACTCTAGGTGTGCCAGTGATTCAGGTACTGACCTATCTGGAAATCCTTCTAACAATGCATGAAAACCATTTTAAATCATAGAAATAAACCAATGCATTAAATATCCGTGACCATTAAATGTTAACGCCAATATATACATTTCTACTCATTTTAAAAGGAACAAAAATCTTGAATGCAAAAAGAGGCATAGCCTTACAGGGAATATGACGTACAGTAACTGTTCTTCTGTATCATTGTAAGATGTATCATTGCTTTTCTGTATTTGTTTGTTTATGTTTTTCCTTATGAATTTACAGATGTAACAGGATCCTGTAACTCCCCACATGACCTGCTCTTTTTGCTTGCTTGCATTTAGTGCCATCATGACTCACGCCTCAGTTCCTGAGAATGAGAGAGAGGTGCTGGGCATTAGTGACACACTCATTCGATTGTCGGTGGGTTTGGAGGATGAGGACGATATTATTAAAGACCTGAATCAGGCACTGAATGCTGCTGTAAGTATTCGTCATGGTTGATTAGTGGTGAAACTAGCAATACAGGTATTTTATTAGGCTGATTAGGATCATTGCATTGAACCAGGAGACCACTGAGCTCTTAGATTAAAACATATGTCTACTCTTAGACATGGATTTCTAAGGTAACAGAGTTTGTTTTGATATTGCACTGAGAGCCATCAAAAATGCAACAAACACTATTAGTTCTAGTACTCATTTTGTTGTGTTTGTAATGCCCTGGGTATATGTAATTTTTGGTGTAAGAATAGTAGCGACATCTGAATAATCTAAATATAAGGAACTGAATGTTTTCCTAAAGAGTTCTTATTTTATAAAAAGCATGTAATTATATTCTCCAAAACCAGCAGACAGGAGTATTTGGTAACTGTGAAGCATTCTGCATCTAAATCAATTATTATTAATTACGGCATATCCTATAGGCAACTGTTATTCAGATCTTTATAAGGTGAGCGCAACTAAAGGAGAAGTGAAGGCACAGTACCTTTCCTATAAAATGTGAGAGATTTCTCTTAGGTGAGGTAAGAGGTGGGTTTTGGAAGATTGGCAAAAACAGCTGAAGCTGCAATGTGTATTAGTGTCCTTCTAATTTCTTTTAATATACTGTGATAGGGTTAGGACCAAGGGATATTAAAATTGTTTTTATGTATAGAAGCACGTTCCTGGGTTCTCTGCCAACTAAATGTATTGTTGAGGATTTCCAATTTTAAAAACGAATTTCAAAAGCATCCAAGTTATTTTCTACCAGTAGACTCTGTTAGAATGTATTGGGTGGTCATTTATTCTGAAAGGGTGCTGGAGATTCATCTGAACTGCGGTATATAAAGTTTGCACTCTTATTTCCTCCAAGGCATTTTGTGTTTTTAAATCCTGTATTTCTGTCGTCAGAAAATAGATTCATATTCCATTACTACTTTATAGGTGATTTTGGGTTCACAATATAAACCTAACAAAGTGCCCTGTCAAAATGTGGAAATTGAGTTGAAGAACTGTAACTCATTTTATTCAGTATCTATGTTAGAATGTGGCATTAATAATTAAATTTATTTTACATTTCAATCCCACATAAGAAAGATATACAGGGTACACCATTTCTAATGTATAGAAACTCTTTAAACTCATGTATAGATTTAATCATATAGAAAACAAATGCAATGCTTTTTCCAACAGCTGGTGAAAGGTTAATTATTTTACGTCCACCTAGGTTAATTACTGGCTGGGATTTCCTGAAGCATTTAACAGCCACAGTAAATCCTTAAGCCTTCACACACATACTCATGGTTACGCTCAGATTACTTCTAAAATTGGATTTGTACTTCAGTAAATTGCCAACTGTCTCTTGTGTGGAAATATAGCTCTAACATAGCCCTGCAGGGTCTTATCCAAGCGTGAGAGAATCATCTGATCACACCTGAAGATACAGAATAAAACATAACCTAGGAAATATTTCTTAGCTGTGCCTTCTGCAATTAAATAAAGGTCATACTTGTAAAATTCAATTTGAGCCTGTAGTTTGTCTTTGGGATAATGGAGAAAATGAAATGTTTTTTTAAAAGGCTGAATTGTTTTCAAATATGAACTGTTTAAGTGTATTTAGTTTGAACATAGTTGTTGCTTTTATTTTAACAGCACCCTGGACTGAAACATTAAGATTGGCAAGGAATTCTGCAGTCATAAAAAGCCAATGTAAAGTGTGCAAGTGAAGTCAAGAATCTACACAGTCCTATGACAGTGTGCCTTACATTAGAAGCGACATGTGTACTTATATTCAGTTAATAGGGGTTAATAAAATATATTAATCTGAATGATTTTATTGTATTTCAAATTCAAGACTGAAATGGAGAAACATTTATGAGCATGAGTGGGAATCAAATTATTGTTGCACGATTTGGTAATTAGTGAATAATTTACCAGCCTCCCTTTTAAAGGCCAGGTACTGTTGTACAGTACCACTTACACTGATTGTTTCCAGTTGTGATAAGTTTCTTTGCCAAACCTATTAAATTCTTGGTGAAATCAACTACTTTGCTTTTAGTTTTTACTTTTTATCTCTATTTTAATCTGAATTCACTGTTAAAGTGTTTTTTTTGTTTAATTTTGGGTAATTGTAATCATTGAATTAGTAAATTTGTATTATTATCATCTATTGGTGAATTGTACTGTAGATCTAAATATCAAGTTTATTTCTGCAAAATAATAAATCAAACTTCTAAAAAAATGACTAGTCCTTGTTAATTATCTCATGATGGTACAAGTAATTTAATGATACATTAAGATTGACAAAAACAAATTAAATTTAGAATTGTAAATGAAAATATTTTAAAAAAGGAAAGGTTTGCTTTTTCTTATGCATGTCTGGAGAGAAAAAAAGAGTGTGGTTCACAATTTCTTATACTTTAGATGAATAGCTGTGTCTTTAGAAGTCATATAACCTTTATTGAGATTTTAATGTAGTTCAAATGTTGGGCAGAATTGTTCATAGCCTTTTTAAAGCTCCTTAACTTAAATCAGCATACAATATATGTAAGGGGATTTGGCATCATTAATTCAGTTAAAGGAGCTTAAAAATGTTCAGATTATACAGCTATTAAGAATGCATTATTATTGACTTTAGCATTTGAACACATTAACAAATAAAAATTACCTTTCAATGTGGCTTAATGCTTTTTGGATTGAAAGAAATCATCAGTTGCTTGAAGCACTAACATCTCTTGTTGATTGTATTTTTTATGGCAAATGGGTATATAATGACTTTCTCTTTTTGGTGAATGCTTTTCTATTACTTTTGCAAAATCAAAATCACTTTATGTTCAAAGATGTTCTTCTGTTTGTTGCCCATATGCCTACAGATTATTTTATTTTATCCCTGCATACAATTATTAAAGATACATTTATCAGGGAGTGAAAAGAAGATGGAATACTCATTAAAAATATATTATGCTTGCAAAGAGAGCATAGATTAAAATGTATCCCTTTCTGAAATTTGATTCAAGATCTTTTTCATGTATATCACCGAAGATAGTGTATGACAAAAAAAATGGAGTGCAGTGCACTTATCTGATTGTCTACTAACTAATGTATAAAGCAGTAAGTTTGAAATATAAATAATTTGAAGCTTTGGAAAATGCAAGTCTATGATTTACAGTATATTCCAATGTACATATTGCAGCAGAGGTGAATGCTTCATAATCAACCAATACTACAGTAGATGAGTGAAATGAGCTGTTCTTGTTTGTAACTTGTTATGATTCTAATAACAACAGCCTCAAAGCTCATAACATTCATCACCCTATCACAATGAGTATCTCTCCAGTTCCTTTTCATCCCAATTAATCACAAGATATTTACTGATGATAAGGGAGTTAGCTGCTATTGAACATGGTCAAATCGTTCCTACACAAGTGGCGGCTCACAACATCAGCCTTCCTGCCTTCAGGAAGGTTCATGAGATAAGGAACTGTGTGATGTGAAGCTAATGATTTTTGTGGCTTAGAGTCACTTGTTTAAAATGATGCTCTTTATACGGTTGCTGAAAATTAATTGCTATCTGCATAGGATTTATTTTCCCATTGTTAACACTTGCTTTTCCCACGTCTACAGTATCATGCAATGGCAGATATGATTAAATACACCTAATTTATTGACACAAATCCTTCTTAGGTTAGCAATGGATCTGAAATCTCAGCAGTTTTGTGATTTTAACAGGTTCTTTTGGATTTGCTTTGGTTTATTAAACCCCTCTGAAAGTATAAAATTACCAAAAACAGGGATTTGATCAGGAAATTTGGATTGCTGCAATACCTACTGTAGGTCTGAGCTACTGATGTTGGAACAGTACATACAATGGTACAGTACAATATATTGTACAAGAAAAGCACTAAGTGGGGTCTGCTAAGGATCTCCACCAGTAAAAGAGACTGTTGGGATGGCAGGTTGTGCTGGGTGATGGAACAATTTCCATCATCCCTTTGCAAAATGAAACAGCATCTCAAGAAAGAAGATGGAACCCCACAAACCCCTGAGCAGCTAGTGGTTGTCTGTCCCCGAGGATTAGGAAATAAAGCTCTAAAAAACAAATCCTGTTGATTTTATCAAAAAACTTTCTCCTTGATAAACAATGAGGAGAGTTAGTACAGTACTATAGTACTAAGGTTCTACTGCTGTTCTTACTGTACTGTATATCAATAGACTAACAGTAAACACTAGGTGGAAAGACTAAGACATGGACTAGCAAACATCTGGCAGTACTGTATGGAGACAGCAAAGGGAACGCAAAGTGCACATTATCAATGTAAAAGGGGTAGCTGTGAACTTGGAAGATGTGACCTGGTTTGTAACTGTCCTTATCAAGACAGTGCAGTTAAGCAATAAAAAAAGAACATTTGGACATACAGTGAATGTGTTGAGATTAAATCAAAGGATTTAAAGATGGAAGACGTATTAATGCTTTTGGAATGCTGTGATTTATTTTGTCACCAACGTACAAAAAAAGATGAAGGAAAGAGATTAAGGAATTGGCACTTGTGTTATTATGATTCTAAAAAGAATGCCGAGATGTTAAACGAAATGAATTGCCTTTGTCTTGAACAGAGATTAATTGATTCAAGTACTCAAGATCCATCACTATCTCCTGAGGTCACCTTAAGCTCACTAATAAAATGAGAATGTGGTATCCCAAGTGGAAACTAAGCTACACTGAAACTGATAAGAGCTGAGTCTTTATGTAGTGAATAGGGGATTTTTGACCTACTGTATCTAGCTAACACTAGAGCTGACTGTGTAGGTCCTGCATAATATTCTAGTACCGATCAGCAAACGGAAACTGAACAAACTATGTAATGAAAATATCCTTTTTCGAATGCATACTGTATATGTTGAGAGATGGTAAAAATGGCACTAATTAAAATTTCTAGTGATTTTTTTATGCCCTCCTAATTTGGAACAGACCATTGCAGTTCATTTTGACTCAACACTATGACCCCAGTACTAACACTACTACCACAGGTTTAGCAAGGATAGTAATGTGTTTACTCCAAATCCTCCACCAGTGAGCTCTCTATTTAACCCACTGCAAGCTCCAACATTCCTAACTGGAGAGCTGGTTGGATGTGTGATGCACTTCTTTGCTGAGAGCACTGTAGGCTTACAAGTGTCTAGTAAATCCTACAGGATTGACAGTTCTGTGTGACCCAGGTCTGGTTGATCCCTGCATGCTCGGACAAACCTGGGCAGACCTGGTCAGTCAGCTCGGGGTATAACCCTGGCTAACGACCTCATTACAGCCCACCTAGCCCTTGACTGTGCCTGGCCAGTTACACTCCAGGAATCTCAGTCAATGTTGACTAATTACAGATCAAACCGAGGGTGGATTGCAATAATGTAACTGGAATTATATAACAATTTGTGACCACATCTTCCAATTAAATTCCACAGGGCTAGTTTCTAGATGCAGTACATGTGATTAATAATGCTAACGGGCTGTTTTTTTTTTTTTTACCCTTAGCTGTTCGATAATCGATGTACACTATTTAAGTAGCTCCTCTGTTTCTAATTGCACTGTAATGGGGTTTTGGCTAATATTGTGGTTTGCTAGCTGTGCTGTTAGAACAATATTTACTGAATTCTAAAGATAATAATGACATTTTTGTAATGTAATGACTATGTAATGTTTAAATACAGATTTGTAATATTATCATCTATTGGTGAATTGTTCTAAAGATCTAAATATCAAGTTTATTTTCTGCAAAATAATTAATCAATTTTTTTTTAAATGACTAGTCCTTGTTAATTATCTCATGATGGTACAAGTAATTTAATGATTATCTATTAATAGCTATTAACTTGATTTCTACTGGGACTATTGTATGAACAGGATCTAAGATTACTTAAGTAAAGCAGAAGAAACAGTTACCAAGTATCTAAAACTATTCAATTTAAAATAAAATGTCAAAAGTCAGGGATCATGACATGGAAAAATACTTTTGTCCTATTTCCATGATGTGTAGTTGTATAGTTGTGGTGAAAGGTATTCATTAGCAATACTAATACAATTAATTCATCATTACATTATTTCATTAGTGGTAATCTTAGAAATGTAAAATAGTTGACAATACACATCACAGAATTTGAGGTATACTGTTGCAAATTATTTAGATTGAAAAGTGTCACATAATGGCATATACTGTATATCTCTTCAATAAAGGTTCATGTAGCAATTTTTTACGGGATTTTTTGGTTTTGGAATAGTTGTGAATTTTAATTGAACCTATTATTGTTAATGCAGAATACCTTTCTGTAGAGTACACTGGGTTGAACAGCAGACAAAAAGATATTCATGGGTTTCTTTAATTTGAAACGTTTTAGTTGAATGAATTACCAGATACCAAATTAACTTCTCTACCTCTACCTGTCCACTAATTTCCAAAGAAGAATTTACTTACTGATCTTGAGCAAAAACAAGTTAAGCATTAAGAGTCTTTTACTGATCACAGAGAAGCTAAACATGAACACCACTTCTTTTTAACCTCAAGGTCACCACTGTGAAAAATTAACAGAAATGGTGAGTGACAATCTTACTTTGTCAAAGAGTCATTTCTCAGTATTTGGTCAATATTTAATTTGTGCTTCTTTACAACAGGAAGACATATTGCAGACCAACATTTTTCCAAATGTCTTGAAGATAGAACTCTAGATAATTATTGTCCCCAAGATACTTCAAAACATAGCTAAGAACAATGACAAAAATTGCAACAACCACCACTGGGTAGAGAAGCTTCTAGAAGACTGTACGTTTGCAATCAGCAGGAGCAGCTCATCAGTAGTTCTTCAAAGCTTTACATGAAATACCCACACTAGAAAAAAATCCTGAACATGAGAAGAATCATCTCTCTCTATGCACCTATGCTTTTATGAAAATAGAGAATATAGTTTTGGGATTTCAATTAAATTTATTTTAAATTATTTTAGTAATAATAATTCCTTACACCTATAAAGCTTTTTTCCCTGACACTCCACTCAGGG